TGCTAAACTTAGCGTGTACGTTTTAACATTCATAGTGAGTAAGTTTCTAGCTGCACGTTAATTTTTATTTTTATCACTAGAACGTTTTTTGGTAGACTATTTTTAGATAAATCCTAACTTTACGAGCTTGCTTATAATTGTTTACCATGTTCCCGTGGTCTCCCTTATAAATTTGCATTTAATTTATTGTGGCTATATTTCCATTAATGTGTATAATATTCTTGCTTTTTAATTGATTACTTCATTGTTATTCAAAAAGCTTAGCCAAACCCCTCCAAATACAGCCTGACAGTAATGTCAAGAAAGCGAAATCCTTCACTTGGACGTGCTACTACTACAGCCAAACGCATAAAAGCACGGAGAAGAAACGCTTCGCAATACGTAACTCAAATTAGACTGACGTAAAATGCTATTCGTACAGCTAATGCAAGGTCAGCAGAAACTAATGAGCAACGGTTAACTAGATGAAGAAGGAACGCTGCCAGAACCTCTGCTACTTGAGCTGTCGAAATTGAGGGGCAAAGAACAATTCTATACAGTCTTTGTGAAGGTTGGTTTTCAGCCTTGGCACGGCTGATAGGAGAAGTCTTTGTTGAATTTCTTCTCCTTCCAATGCATGTTGTTCATTCGATGTAGTTTGAGCAAAAGCTGTCAACAAAGTATTTCTCCACAACAATTTTCGAAGATCGATTACGATTAATGTACTCTTCATTTACTGACAAATTTTTTGTATCTTCTGTGCTTCTGTAAAAAACAACTTTCTCCTGTTATAAATGTTTTCATACTTCATGTCATTATAATTTTTCGCCATATAGATAAGAGGCACTAAAGAAAAATCTTTATTTTAACTTTACAAAATGGATGAGGTTCGAGATCTTTTTTTGAATAAACACAGGCAACGCCGGGTAATGCTGCTAGTATCAATATAAAAATTACTTGCAGTATTTGATAACATATGAGATCCACGCCTTCCCCAGCCAAAATCTTTTCCAAAATGTCCTCCGAAGCTGGAGAACCTTGTTGGCATTTGTTTTCTCTTGTAAATTGCAGTTCTTCTATGTGCCGTGTCTTTTAGGAATGTAGTTTGTCATAGCTCTCCACAATTTCCTATTCTTTGTACCTCTTGGTAAGGTTAGTCTTTTCGCTATTTTTCCCGATCTCTTTTCTGCCATCCAGTTGAATAAACTCTTTAGGTTGGTTATTCATTGCTTTCCTCTTCCCCTCCAGCCTTCAATATGCCCTGTGAGTCAAATTCTTCAGCCCTCCTTTCGCCTAGAAATTTCAATTGTCTCTTTCTAAGTATAACTATCCTTTTTGTTCTCTTTTTCTTAAAACTTCCTCTTTGCTCACATATTTAGTCTATAGTATTCCCAGCATCCTTCTGTATAACTACATTTTTGTTGTCACAAGCTTTCTCTTAAGTGTATTTGTCGCCATATTGAATGATTGATATTAGACAGCAGTTCAGCACACTTTTCTTTGTTTTAACGAAACATTTCCTCTTTATATTTTGCTTAGTTTTTGGAAGGCAACTTTCGCTATCCCATCGCCTTTATAATACCGGATTTTGTTTTAGAAATCTATAATTAATTTGTTTAATTTTATTTTTCTAATTAATAATGGATATAACGGTGAGCATTATTGGGTTAATAATATGAAATGCTTACACGCAAAAAACTTCTTTTTTTTAATAATTTTTGCTGAATTTTGGTGCATTTTATATGGTCGCGAATCTTATATATCATGAAATACGGTCGTTGTGCTTTCTGAATAACCAATAATGCAAGATTCATTACAGTATTTTAACCATTTTTTGAAGTTCGCCGTTAAAACATGGCTTCATTCTTTGCGATGGAAAAAAACCCTCTGCAAATTGCGCCTAATTTACAATCGGGCTTCATTTTTTTACATTGTTTTTTTTTTAGTTCAAGATTAAAGTTTTTGCTGCCCCGAATTTTACACCTTCAGCTTTATAGCAAATTAACTTTGGTGCGATGAGAGCCGAGCGGGGATTGTCGGTCTTTTAACGATATAATTTATTTCCAAAAGTTATAGAGTGTGACCTTCAAACTTTTCGCCTTTAACACCATCAAAGTAGGCTTACCGTATCGTTTGCGTTCGCCGACATTTCCGCAGGTGCTGCATCTTGTCCATTCTTGCCAATCAGTAAAGAAGATCAAGTTTTTGATGCTGCCGAAAATAGATAAATGTTTTATATATATATATATATATATATATATATATATATATATATATTTATGCAAATTTAGGTAATCCGTATGGGTAGACCTGAGGAGGATGATATCCAGAGAGCTCAATGTAAAATTCAGAGCAGATATGTTTGAATAAAAGACAGACCACGTTAAGATTCCATGTAATAAGCTATTTCACCATAACCCCGAAGGATAGATTTTTCCAATCGACTGTTTCATAAAAAATACCCAAAACTCAACCGAATTTCAAATTAATTCCGTAGATTGTTTTAAAATTTAGATATTTA